TATTATTTTATTATTATTTATTATTTTATTATTATTTATTATTTTATTATTATTTATTATTTTATTATTATTTATTATTTTATTATTATTTATTAAATTACTTTTATTTATAAAGTTATAAATATTAATTAAAAGGCTAGTTTATTTAATATAATCTTATTTATTATTTTTTTATATTATATTATTAATTAATAATATATATTATAATAAAGCTAGCTTTAATAAATAAAAATAATTAACTTATTAATATTAAATATATTATAAAGAAGTAAAATAAGGTTAAATAAGCTAGTTATTTTTATATTTATAATACTCCTTTTTCTTTATATAATACCCCTTTATAAAAAGGAGGGATAAAGGCAGTAAAAGAAAGAGATAATAATAAAATAGGGATATAAAAAATAAGATAGATAATAATAAAATAAGATAAAAGAGATAATAAAGGTATTAAATTACTTAATCTTCTATCCTCTCTAGACTAAGAGGGAAAGGTCTTATATATAGTTAAAAAGACCTAGCCTTCAGTTTAATAGTCTCTTTATCGGTTTAATATTAGCCTTTATAGCTAAAAAGAGCTAGATTTAGCTCTATTTAGCGTAGCTATAGCTAAATTTAGCTATATTTAATATAGCTATAGCTAAATTTAGCTAAATTTAGCTTAATTTAGTATAGCTATAGCTAAGTATAGCTAAATATAGCTCTATATAGTATAGCTAACTTTATATTAGATTAAAGACCTTAAGTCTAGCTAGAAATAGTAAAAATCGGTTTAATAGACTATCTAGCGGTATAATAGACTGCCCGCCGGTTTAATAGACTATCTACTATAATAAAGTTTTTAGATAAATATTTACTTAATATATATAAAAATCAGTATATACCGGATAAATATTTATTTATATAGACTTTATAATAATATATTTTTTATCTATTTCTATATAGCCTATATAGCTATATATTAGCTATATTTTATATTTTAGTAATATAAAAAGCTTTTATAGACCTTCTTATTATATCTAAAAGTAATGTTTTTTAAATAAATAGCTATATAATATATATATATATATTTATATAATATATTATATAGTATATTTATATATATTATATAGGAAAATATTTTTTATATCTTTTTATATAGTTTATATAGCTATATATTAAATATTTTATATAAACTAAGACCCTTTTTACTCTATAGTATTATATAACTTAATAAATAGCTTAAATTAAGTTTAAGCTTAGACTTTAAGAATTAATATTTAATATTATAAAGGATTAATAAATAAATTATTAATAAAAATAATAATAAAATCTTATTATTTATTTAATAATAAATATTTTTATATTAAATATATTATATATAATAATATAAAGTTATTACTTTATATATATAATTAATCTTAAGTATTATATTATTTCTTTAATAGCTTTAATAATTATATAAAAATAATATATATAATAAAGTCTTTTATAAATAATAATAATTTCTTATTATAAATATAAATATTATTTATATTTTAATAATTTATAATATATTTATTAATAACTTAAAAGTAATTTAATAATAAAAAAGAGAGTATTATAATATAAAGAAAGTTAATAAAATATTAAAAAAAATAAAAATAAAAATAATAATAATAAAAAAAAGAAAAGAAAAATAATAATAAAATAATATATATATATTTCTTATATAAACTATAAATATAATAAACTTAAGCTTATTTATTATTAAAAGACTTATAAATTAATAGCTATTTATTAATTATTTAATAAATATAATTAAATTATTATATAAAGAAAATAATAAATTATAATAAAATAAATTTAATTTAAAGAATATAATAAACTAATATTTATATATAAAGTATATATATAATATTTAACTATAGTTATTGAAAATAATACTTTAAAAAAATAAGATAATTATAATACTTAAATAAAGAAAACCTTATTAAATACTATACTTATATAATAAGCTTAATTTATAAAGTAAAAAGGCTTACTTTATTATTATTTCTTAAAGCTAAGATTAATAAGCTTTAATTTTAACTTTAAGATTAAAATAAAGATCTAGTTTATAAATAGACTAATTAATTATTATACTTTTATTTAACTATTTTATAAGCCTATATAATTATTATATTATAATTATACTTATTAATATATTACTTAATTTAATTAAAATTACTACCTTTATTATCTTTAAATATACCTTTAAAAAGGCTATATATCTATATTAATAGCTCGGCTTAACTATAAGTAACTGACTTAATTAGGGGTCGGTCTATAGCTAACCCCTTACCTTATAGCTAATGGCTTAGCAGGCCTTAGCGCCGCAGCGCGGCGTGGCCAAATAGAGAAACGGGCGTGGGTAGATAGTAGTTCTGTAATGACAATAGGTCTCACTGGTCAGTCAGGCAAGAGAGTCAATAGCTGTATAGTCCGGCTGCTGCTGCTACAGTCACTATAGGTCAGAGACTGAAGCTTGAAGGTCTACGTGGCGTTTCGCCGACGACCCGCCGGAGGTATGCCCCGGCGGGCCGGCCGTCACGTGCGTGCCACGTAGCCGTCAAGGCTCCAGGTCCAGCCGACTGTTACAAGTTCTCTGTCTAAATAGCTACGCCTCCCCACCAATCGGCACAGTCCGTAGTGCCCATGTGCCTTGAGTGGCGTAATTAGTCCACTAGCAGCAGCAGGCATATTCTATGCCACTGGCCCAGCCCCGTCGGCGGCGATGCTGGAGCCATCAATCAAGCAGAGACGTCCAGGCATCCTGCTTCACTCGGTTCGCAAAGCCGTCCTGCCCGCCGTTCCCCGTGCGCCGTCATCGACACTCCCCCCTCCTCCTCCCTGATCCGGCTCACGATGCGTTAGCCGGCCGTCACCAAGGGCTCCGTGGCGTTGTCACTTCCGTGTAGGATTTCGCATACCGCCACACCACCCTCGCGATGCTGCGGCTCCTTCATCGGCGTCAGTCCTCGCCATCACCCCAGACATCGCAGGAATCGTTGCTCACTCCATCCAGCCTTCGAGGCGCTCTCTGCAAGCGCTGGTGCCTCGCCCGATGAATGTTCGTGTGATAGCCAAACAACTGCTCCTCTCTTGCAAATGCCAGGAGGGGTCGTGATCGCTGACCTGCCAGTCTCTCAGTGAAGATAATTTTCTCATTCCTCCTGTCCTATCCACTGGCTGGCCTCTTGAAGCGTGTGCCGGACGCGAAACCCCTGCGCAAGAACCTCTTCATCATAAGGTACGGCCCAAGCTATCTGGGCCAGCCTTCACCCGCTGACCGAGCAGCACCGCCGTGTTTTATCTGGTCGGACTCTTCGACCTGTGGAGTGGCCTCTTCACGCTGTGCCTCAGCGCCACCGGCGCCTATTGCATCGCAAAGTACCTGCGCAAGAGCCCGTACATGCCATGGGTCGGCTTCCTCTTCGTCATGGGCCACATGTCAATCAGCCACATCCATCGCCAAGCTGTTGACAGCCCTTCGTCCGTTGATATCACCGGTGCCCAGATGGTGCTCGTCATGAAGCTGAGCGCCTTCTGCTGGAACGTTGCTGACGGCCAGTTGTCACCCGACAAGCTGACCGACCTGCAACGGGACCGGGCCTTGCCGCATCTGCCGTCTGTTCTCGACTTCGCGGCCTACGTCCTCTTCTTCCCGGGCTTGCTCGCCGGCCCGGCATTTGACTACGCCGAATATCGCCGCTGGATCGACACATCCATGTTTGACGTCCCCGCGGACATCGACCCGGCCAAGAAACCACCAGTGAGGAAAAAGCGCAAGATCCCTCGCAGTGGCACTCCGGCCGCCTTTAAGGCTGCCAGTGGCCTGATCTGGATCGGCCTCTTTGTCGCCCTGTCTGGCCGCTTCGGCCACGAACAGCTCGTTGCTGACTCGTACATGCGCCGCGGCCTGCTCCATCGCATCTGGATCATGTACATGGTCAATCTGGTGACGCGACTCAAGTACTACGGCGTGTGGACCCTGACGGAAGGCTCCTGCATTCTCGCCGGGTTGGGCTACAATGGTGTCGATCCCGTCACCGGCAAGGTGTCGTGGAACCGTCTGCAAAACATCGACCCTTGGATGGTAGAGACCGCCCAGAATCCAAGGAGCTACCTCGCCGGGTGGAACATGAACACGAACAACTGGTTGCGCAATTACGTCTACTTGCGCGTAACGCCGAGGGGCAAGAAGCCCGGCTTTCGCGCCAGCATGACGACCTTTGTCACAAGTGCCTTCTGGCACGGCTTCTACCCTGGTTACTACATGGCATTTGTGCTCGCCAGTTTGATACAAACAGCCGCCAAGAGTGAGTTGATATTTGGCATGCCCTCCGTTGTGCGCGACGACGGCGTCGATGCCCATGCTGACTTGACTTGCCTTAGACTTCCGTCGCCTTGTGCGACCATTCTTTCTCGATCCTGTCACTGGCGGGCCTGGACCACATAAGAAGTACTATGATGCCGCCAGCTTCGTGGCTACGCAACTCACCTTCTCTTTCGCCACAACCCCGTTCCTGGTTCTCAGCTTTCGTGGCTCGATGCTGGCATGGAGCCGTGTGTACTTCTATGGCTTCGTTTGGACCATCGTCTCCTTGGTCTTCTTCGCATCGCCAGGAAAGGCGAAGCTACGCGCACTGCTCGAGAAGAGGCAGGGCAAAGTCAGCGCCAGGTTAGTGAGGTCCATCAGCACAGACAGCCTCACCGGAAAGGATCCGATCTTGGGCATTTCCAAGGACCTCGAGCGCGATGTAAACGAGGCCGTTGAGGAGATCAGGGCCGAAGTCGAAGCCCGCCAAAGGAAGAAGACGGGCTAGAAGCGGGCGCCCAGACGCGTCACTGCCCAGGAGGGCTAGTGCACCACCTCGAGGTGCGTACACGAGATTGGATATACTCACGGGTGAGGTTTGACTGGTTCGTCGTAGCGTATCCATTACAACGGAGAGTATCTATCCATATACATCTATCATAAAGTCCAAGTGCCATGCAGCCGTTGTCGTGGTAGAAACTTGACTGAACAGCGATAAGTCTCCTTGGACTGATCTTTTTGCCTAAGCTTAGCATCAAGTCGTGTGAACATTCAACATGTCGCCCTCGCCAAATACACCGAGAAGAAGTAGGCTGCCTCTGGGCAAGCCGGGGAGCGCCTGCTTTCTGAATCGTATCGACCGAAGGGCCCGGAAAAAAAAATCGAACCGACAGGGGATGTCCAAGAACTGGCTTCTGAGTGCAACAAAGCACGCATTAAATATGTTTCGTTATCTCGTCTGAAATCGTCACCAAAGCGTTGTTTCGTGGTCGATGTCGGCCGTCTCGCCACCGCACCAATTCGTCTCGAGGTCTCCAACCGTCGTGAATCATGACTTCCATTGCTGCTTGACCCCGGTAACAATAAGCGCCACGATGGCGCCCACGACGAATAGCCCGACGACGGACATGGCTCTGTTAAGGCTCCTCCACCATTGCGCGCGACTGTATCGGCGAGCGCAAGAAGCATAGACATTTCGACTGGCTTCCGGTCGCAGGTCAAGATGACCAGTGCTCTGATGAGCCTCCGTCATGTCGCATAGCGGTTGCGATGGGAGCGGCAGGAAAGATGCCACCATCCAAGCTGGCTGCGTTAGATTCATGGGTGTGATGGGCCACCGGAGTGTACATTTGCTCACCAAAAGGAAATACAAAGCCCAGCACGAATAAGATGGGCTGGATGTTTCGAGCCATAGATGCGGGCTCGTCCGTAGACCAGATGGTAGAAGGAGGCTCCCAAATGGTATGTCTTTTGAACCGCCTGTCTCGAGCAAGGTGTGGAGACCAGATGCTTGATGTCTGTTTCCGTACAATGCACGCGACGGGTAAAGGCGGACATGGGGTTATTTGATCGCCGTTGTCTTGCGAGGGGCGGGACCTGTTGCTCTGCCGCAACTGCTCTCTTGGGCGGCGTCGGGGGTTCTGAACGGTTGGGGGCAGTCTCTCGGCGCTGGGCGACCTGTTTAACGAGGCATCAAATCGAGCGCCCTCCTCGAAAATAGAGTACAGCGACTCAGACGATAGCTGCGCAGCCAGGAAGCGGCGTTCCCCGCTGCCGTAATAGAGCCTGCCCGCAAGTTAGCGACGCCTGCTCTTCAATAGCCCTCGGCAGTCGAGCTAGCACCCATATCCATCCTTACCTAGCCCAAGCGGGAATAGAAGATCGACTGAGACTGTTGCTGCGCGAGCTGCCAGAGGATCGCAGATTGCGATCCGAGGAATGAGTAGACAGGAAGCTGTATAGCCGCGCACGGAAAGGTCCATTTAATTCCTCCAGGTCTGCGAGGCCATCGCCGTGTTCATCTTGGTCCCGAATGAGCCGAATGGTGTTGCTGCCTTGTTCGCGTGACCCTGGCCGCCAAGCAGCTGATGAAGGGAAATCTATATGCTCCTCTCGGGCCAAACTTGAGGCTCCGGCCGCTCCATAGAACCGGTCAGCGATGGGTGAAGCATCGCGTCCTGCGAGGTGGCCCGCGGGGCTCAATGGCGAGAGCGAACGGGAAGGGCCAGCGCTGCCTCCTTCGCTTTCAGAAATGACCGTTGACAAGGCGGAACTCCAGTGCTGATTCTGGGAAGCCCTCCTCGGTGACTTGATTGCCGTCGCGCGAAGGACATTCGACGAACCATCAGAGGTGCTACCCGGCATGTGTATGGCGACAGCACCGGCGAACAACGAGCGGGTAGCCTCCTCAATGACCGCTGTTGAGATGGAGCTCAGAGACGCAGTTCGTATTGAGTCACGGGAGCGTGCCCGGTACAGGATGGAGCGATCGGGCGCGCCCGTTTTTACCGTCCTGAGTGGAGGCACCAGCAAGCTTTCCCTCGAGTATTCGGGTCTCAAGCTTTCCGCGATAGCACTGGGAGCAGACAATGGAGATTGGCCACCATGAAGAATGTAGTTCGATTCACTCCCGGCGGTTGGCGGCGCTTGACGGTCGTCGGCGGATTGGTCAGAAGATGATTCGCCCAAAATATCAATGTTGGCTGGCTCCAGATCAATGACAGACTGGTTGGAGACGCCTTCGCAGCTGTCAAGCGTGGCGCTGGAGCCAACAGGGCCGGCCGCTGGGGCTAAGACGTAGGTCTTGAAATTGGATCGCTCGGATAGTGTAGAGGGCGGCCGTGAAGAGCTCAGGGAACGCCTGGCTTGAGGCCCCGTGTCGCCGGGCGGAGGAACAGGGTTCGAGACAGCGTGCTGAACTTTACGCACGCCTCCGACAAAGCGATAATTCCAGGGTGAGTCTCCGAAATGACCTAGACTGATGGATGCAGGAGAGTCACAGCTGGGTGGCTGTTCCGGAAGCGGCGTCAGGGGTGAGCTTGGTCGGTCCTCGACTAGCAGATCTGACGAGGAGAAGTCATACGAGGTGCTATGGACTGTTGACGAGTAGCGCGGGGATCTAAACGAGTCGGTTGCAGACGACGCGGAGCCAGATTGAGGAACCAGGCTGAATGTCTTGTCCGAATGCACACTGATGACTTTCTTGGGCCGGCGCTGAGCGGCAAGCGGCGGAGAACAAGACGGGGTTGCGTGCGATAGGAGGTTACCGGGAGAGGGCGAAGAGCACAGTGACGGTGACGACGGGGAGAGAGTCGTCCAGTTTGTTGCGGCATTGGAGCCGCTGGTCGGGCTAGGGGAGCGGGCTTGGGTCGAGGCTGGCTCGGGAAGTTGGTCGCCCTGGCGAGGAGAGTGACCGTGTTTAGTGGTGACCACGGCGTCAGATGTGTGCGAAAGAGGGCATGCGGCGGACGTAGGGGGCGAAGCAGCATCAGAGCTGAGACGTGGCGGGCTGTACGGGACGAGACGAATTTGTAACCTATTGCGCTCCGAGGGGGATCGTTCATGCAACGCCCGGCGCTTCGGCGAGGATGGCGGCGGCGGCGGCGGCGGAGTAGACATGCTCTCGCCTTCCCACTGCCTCTTACGCAACACGGGTCGCACTGCACAGGCCCATGGCCTTGCTTTACCTTGGTGGTTGGCACCTGTGCACGCCGGGAGTCTCGGTTGCGACTTCAGAAGTCCACCTGTCAAGGCAGGCTGGCCGACGTCGCGGGTGAAACGCAGGGGAGTCGCGTCAAGGCCTGGGCCTTTGCGGAGGGGACGACGAGCCTCTCTGCGGGCTGAACAATGCGCACTGAGAGTCTGGTTCTTGTTGCAAGGGGTGGAGGGGCTGTTGCTCGGTCGGGATTATGATTACTGGAAGCGCCGTATGTCTATGTTGTTGAGTAAATTGGCAAATCGTGGCCGTGGCGGAATTGTACAAGGGCAACCGCTTGAAGAGCGCGAGTCGTAAGCCGTAGTCTTAATCGTGGTCGTCGTGTCCCGAGGAGAACTGTGACAGAGGATAGTGAAGGTGAAGCAGAAAGTAGAAAAGGGAAGCGAATTAAGTCTATGTCAAAGCGAAAGAGGAGCAAGTATTTTGGCAAAAGGATGATGAAAAGAGCGAGACGAGGGATTGAAAAAGCGAGCAAAGAAGCGAACAGGCGAGTGACAAAACGAGGGAGAGAAAGAGGACCGGCCAAAGCAAAGAGCTCGGTCAACGGGTTGCAGTGAACTGGGCGCGCCAAAGAGCGAAGACGGAGGCCCGTTGTGAAGGCGTGCGGTGATGTATGGGGGGAGAGGAAGAGATGCATAGGGGGAGGAGGAGACGAAACGACGAGCCGCCAGGAGACGGATCGATTGGAGACGGCTGCCCTGGCACCCCTCGGGCTGCGTCTTGGCCGCCGACTCGACCCAAACTACCTAGGTAGCTTGCTGAAGTCTGTCTGGCCGTTCTGCCGGGCGGCTCTCCGGGGGTGCCACTGCAGGCGCCCTGCTCTCATGGACGGCATGGACCTCGTCCGGTGCGCCGCCGCCATCCGACCACTGGCAGCGCGGCAGCGGAGGCGGCGCGCGCAGCCGGCGGGCGCGGTGTGCGAATCGTGGCCACCAGGACACAGGGCAGGGGGGAGAGGGCTCGCCGATTATCTGTGTTGGAGCTTGGCCAGGGGTTTGCAGCTTGCAGTTCCTCGCGACGTGGAGGGACCTGGGGGCCACCCCGGTCGCCCCAATCAGGGTAACCTACACACTGTGCGCGTCGTGACCGGGCTGCACAGTCCTGAATGCTGCCCTGTGACGACAGCATACAGTGTTGGAAGGCTCGTACGTGGCGTACGCGAGGTACCTTTCCACAAGCGCAACAGCAACGTGCCCAGTGAGGTGGGCATGCGATAGTGCCTTATGCAGCCGCCTCAATTTTAGCGGCGCAGTGTTTAATGAGCCAGCTGCACGACTTGATGCATGGACACAATACAATCACAATGGGCGTATGTGGGCGCATGTCTCGTCTCATTCATTTGACTCTGAGCCCTCACCCAGTCCCTCATGGTTCATGGCCCCGATCAGCACTGCGAGGATGGGTCGTGGAGCAAGTCATACGCCGTCCCGTAATACCTAGGTAGAGCCCAGACAGGTCGCACCTGGGCAGATCTGGAGGAGCACCAGAGACGACCGACCGAGACTGAAACCGAACCCGGCCGGCTGGGGTCCCGGCCATGGCGCCCCGTTGTTTCGTTTCGCTCCTCACCGACTCTGTCACATCCTCCGTTGACCGCCTGAGACCTTGCCAGGTCTGTTGGATCGGATGCCAAGGCGCGGGAACCCATGAGCCTTGCTCCGTATTACTTTGCACCCCGTGCGGGCAACTGGCGGACTCCTGGCAATCGCACGGGTACCATACCTATTTGCCTCACCAATTATGTGCAATGTACACTATGATGCTGCGAGGAGCCTCTGGAACCATTCCGGGCTGTGTTGCCGGGGCCCGGCTGGAGGCACCCCTACCAAGACGCGCGCTCGCGTCGTCGCGTCGTCCAACACCAATCAGGGGTCCGGTTCTTAATTGATTTTTGTGCTCGTCGAATCGCGAGTTCCGCCCAGCGAACTGGTGTAAGAATGCACCGACACAATGGAGCTTCCCGCCCCTCATGGCCGGCCCAACGCATTCTCCAAACGTACCTACTAGGTATTTTGGGCACATCGGTCGGTACCTACCAGTGCTAGGCAGGTACTAGCTGGGCACCTAGGTAGGCCGCCAAGTTGGCAGGCAAGTTGCCTGGGCAGGAGAATGGTGGCAGGAGCACCTGATTCTGAATAGTACTTTAGTACCTAGTATTTTGTACCGATATGTAGTCCAGTATATATCGTACATTTTACATTTTACTCCGACTTGAAAAATGTGCCTGGCGGGCACATACCAACTACTAGGTACCTAGGTACTTTTCACTACGCACGTCGTGTTGGCCCTGGACGCATGCTTAGCTAAGACTGGCCGTCACTCGCCTTTCCGCGGCTATCCCATCCTCGTCCTCTCCCTGTCCAAGAGGAGCAAGGGGCCATCTCAACGTCCTCGTTCGGCACAATCTCTAGCCCGGATCGACGGCCCTTCGCTCCCTTGCTGCCATGGGGCCCATCCTTACCGACGCCGACCCGCCTATGCTGGGTCAGCTCCAGGCGTTTGGCCTCCTGGTGAGCAGCCGCCTCCCCTCCATGCTCGCGACCATCGCTGACTGCTGTGCCGGGAAAGATCGTATATTGCCTGGTATACGTCCTTCCTCTTCACCTCTGGGCGGCAACACGCGCCTCACGATCCCGTTCCAGAGACGCACCGGAAGCCATTCGCGCCAGGATTCGATCCGTCTCCTTCTCGACTGCCGCCTGCTCACTGGCGACGCTCTTCATCATTCTCGGCTCCACCTCAAACCCATCGTCTGAGACTCCGCTTGATCACCTCACCCTCGCCCTTCACCTCATGGGATACTGGCCCGTTGGCTACATAGAGACCATCAAGAGCCTTTTGCTCACCGCCCTCCTCTTTGCCGGGCCTCTGTATGAATGTCTCGTAGTCGATGGCCTTTGGATCCAATGGCTCCGCCTCGAGCCCGTACATCATGTCTGGACTGAATGGCCGACATGGCGTAACATGGTTGCGGTATGTTCAACACACAGAGATCGGTCAGCCCCTTGTCCACGTGCTCATTGTCGCGGTCTCTAGGGGCCTGTTACCGAGGAATGTCTCTTCCGATCCGCTGCCGTCCCCTTACTCCTCCTCGCCGGCTCAGACATGAGGTCCATCATCTTCTTCTCTCCAGTTGTGTTCGGCGTAGCCCATGTCCACCACTTCTACGAATTCCGCGTCACACACCCGGGAACCCCGCTTGCGGTAGCCGTCGCCCGATCAGTTCTCCAGTTCTCTTACACCTCCATCTTCGGAGCTTATGCAACCTTCATCTACTTGCGAACTGGCTCCCTCATCGCAGCCGTCTCCATCCACACCTTGTGCAACTCCATTGGGCTCCCACGGGTTTGGGGTGTCGTTGAGCCCTACTGGCTGCACACGCATGTCTCGAAACAGGCGCGTTGCTTGCTGCCATGGACCGTGCTTTACTATGCCCTGCTCCTCGGTGGTTGCTTGCTGTGGAAATTTAACCTATACTCGTTGACAGATTCGCCCATGGCGTTGACTGTCGTCTAATAAAGTTGGTGCTGGGGAATTGTGTGTCCTGTGTGCTATTCTGTCCTAGTATTGGCAACAGGGCCCTCCTCCGGCCCGCTTGCGCATCGTCGAGGCGCGCACATCGCCACCTTCTCCTCCGCAAGGTCCAGGCCGCGCCGGTAGGTGTTGAGGCGTGTCAGAGAATGCCGGCCAATGTTAGCCAGCACAAGGCCATTGCATCATCGCAACTGTATGCCTGGGAGGGACCCCGGCATTGGAAAGTCATCGTCTTCCCTTGGCCCTTGCGGCCTTCGGTGTCTGACCGGCGGGGTCATGTCGCTCGCTTCCTCTGCACTGTCGGGTTCTCTCAGTCGTGTCCCGTCGCGCGTGTCACGGCCAAGATCTTTGCCCCTTGACCGTCCGACAGACCCGCTCCCAACGTCAGCCATGGCATCATCGGGGCCTCGTGTGTTCTTCTTTCTCGGCCAAAGACTGGGCAGAGCAATCTCTTGGAATCGAGGCTCAACGGCACGCTCATCAAACCACCGGTGGAGGCGTGCCTCGACGAGCTGCGCAATCTTGGGCACGTCCTGTAGCCTAGAGCGGCTTCCCAGGAGACTGCGAATGGAGAAGTCTAAGCGGTAGTCGTCAAGGAAGCTGAAGGTCATCATTGTCGGCGTGGATTGAGATGGGTTGCTGGGTATGAAGGAGATTGATAGCGTGCCGCTGAATCGCACCACGGAAACAGCGAGTGCGACGGGTAGAACCGCGGACAGCTTTTTCGGATAGTTGAGGAGAAGCTTCGTTTCAACAGCAAGGGTAAGCATGTCGCTGAGATCGACATCCATTCGTGCTTGAAGCCTTGTGCCGTCCCTCGCGGCGCTCGCGGCATCGAACCGGACTCCATTGCCCAGTGTCAGGCCGTCCTCATCAACTGGGATGACGCGACAGTTGCTGAAGATGGGAAAGTCCTCGCCAAGGCTGAGTTCAGTCACGCGGATATCGTCCACAAAATCGGGCCGCGAAGTGCCATTCAGAGCCTTGGTTAGAGAGTCGAGGATTGCGTCGTCATGCTGAGCATCGCTGCGGAACTGGGCAATGGTCTGGGCCACCAGGACGTTGAACCAATCCAGACTCTCGGGCTGGTGGCCGTCTACATTGTAGTATGTCTTGCTGAGAATGGAGCCGATTGTCAATGCCGGCGGATTCCGGAGGACCGTCGACCTCTTGCGGCCAAGGGTTTGGCTCTGGGAGACATGGCGCTGGCCAGGGGACCGCAGTGTCAGCAGCGACTGTTTGTGGGCGAGCGTCCTAGCCCTCCGCTCCGTGGCCCTGAGCGATGCTGTGACGTCTGAAGAAGGGGGGTCGCCGAAGATGAAAAACTTGATGAAAGCTGCCAGAATGAGCACGACGGAGAGTTGCCCAACGACCAGGCCTTGGGTGAAGGAGAGCCTGTGGCGCGGCCACCGGCCTAGGTATCAGCAAGAGACCTGGGATCGTTCGTGGGGAAACTCACGTCGGCTCGAGCCTTGGAGGGCAAGCCTCGCCGGATGCCATGTTCGTTCCGCAAGTGGGCTATGAGCAGGCCCTCGGATACCAGGCCCAGGGCCGAGGATTGGCTAATTGAGCTACGGGGGATTGTTGCTTAGGTATCCCTCGGATGGTGCGCTCCTCAGCTGCGTCAGCCGTGGCAGACAAGCGTGTGCGCACGTCTCGGGAAAATTACAAGTGAAGAACAACTGAAGTCCAACGGCATGGTCGTGTTCGCTGGCCGAGGTCGAAGGACTTTGAGAGACGATTTGAGTGACGTCCAGCGCGACTGCACGCGTTTGTAGCTGGTTAGGCAGTCGTAGCGGTGGAAATTCTGGCCTTGCGCTATTGTGGCGCCATCTCAGTGACCCCCTTCATGTATGTGAAAAGGCCGAGAGTCTGGTAGGGAAAGCTAGCGCCTTAACAGCGTGCACCTGAAAGTACGCAGTACATACTAGATACTACCTGCCGGTACAAAAGGACCAAATTTCAAGGTATCTGCAACACCCGTTCACGCTGCAAGAGTACCCAACTCGTTAGTACTACTGCGTTCGTTACATATTGGTAGCCAGTTAGGTACAGGTACATAGATAACTAGATAGAACCTGGTGCCATGGGGCAGTGGCTGCGCAAATGAGTGCTTCTGTGGCCCCTGGCAGCCCGTGCTATTACGCATCGAGAGAGGTACCTACTACCTAGTAGGTACGGGGAAGCAGTACCTAGGTAGTACCTGAGGCGCCTGGCCCGCGACAGAAGGTGGTGCGAACTTGCACAGGTAGCAGGTAACCGACCTACCAAGCAGGCAAGGCAACTCACTGAGCTCCGCCAACCACTGAGCTCACTGAGCTCCAACCCATCAACCTTCAATTCGCAGCTGGTGGATGATCCCGACTCAAGGCAAGGTATGCACGACGGCTCAAACGCTGGCTTTGGCGGTCGAATCACCTGATGGTATTCGCGTGACTCAACGGCTTGACGCGAGCAGTCGCCGACTGAGCTGATTCGCACACACGCGTCACGACACGTCACTCTGCCACTGTCGTCGCTCGTCAAGGCGGCCGAGGAGAGCCGGCGGCCGCACATCCGTTCGCGAGCAAGCACTCGGAGCCACTCCCTCCCCAACTTGCGCCAATAGCCGGAGTCTGCCTGCCATGGACGTGTCGCAGGCCGTGGCTGGCTACATCGCCAAGATTGTCAGCCCGCCGGGCGAGGCTTCATCGTCTAAGATGAAGATACTGCTACTGGACCGTGAAACAGTGTCCATCGTCTCGACTGCCGTTACACAGTCGGCTCTGCTCAACCATGAGGTCTATCTCATCGACCGCCTCGACAATGCTGGTCGCGAGAAAATGCGTCATTTGCGCTGCCTCTGTCTGGTCCGCCCTTCGCCCGAGACTGTCCAGCTTCTCGTCGACGAGCTACGCGATCCCAAGTACGGCGAGTACCATCTGTACTTCACCAACGTGGCTAAGAAATCCTCTCTCGAGCGCCTCGCCGAGGCCGACGATCACGAGATTGTCAAGGTTGTCCAGGAGCACTTTGCCGACTATACCGTCATCAACCCAGACCTGTTCGCTCTCGGTGTCTCGCTCCCTCAGTGGCGGATATGGTCTGGCACTCCCGACACGTGGAATCCCGATGCCCTTCAGCGGTGCGCCGAGGGCCTCATCGCTGTCCTCTTGTCGCTGAAGAAGAAGCCTCTTGTTCGGTACCAGAAGAATAGTTCCCTGGCCAAGAAGTTGGCCTCCGAGGTCCGCTACCTAATGTCACAGGAGGATCAACTCTTCGACTTTCGAAAAGTCGACACTCCTCCCATACTGCTCGTCTTGGACCGTCGAGAAGATCCTGTCACGCCTCTGCTGACGCAGTGGACCTACCAAGCCATGGTGCACAATCTTCTCGGCATACAGAACGGCAGAGTAGATCTCAGCCAAGTCCCCGACATCCGACCGGAACTGCGAGAGATTGTACTGTCGCAGGATCAGGACCCTTTCTTCAAAAAGAATATGTTCCTCAACTTCGGCGATCTTGGCGGCACCATCAAAGAATACGTCGAACAGTATCAGTCCAAGACGAAGAGCAATACCAACATCGACTCCATATCCGACATGAAGCGCTTCATTGAAGAGTATCCGGAATTTCGCAAACTGAGCGGCAATGTCAGCAAGCATGTCACTCTGGTCTCTGAGTTGAGCCGGCGGGTCGCCGACGAAAGGCTGCTCGAGGTGAGTGAGACGGAACAAAGCCTGGCATGTAACGACAATCACAGCGGAGATCTCAAAGTAAGTGATGCCCTTGAGGAGGCACGCAAACGGACAGCGGCCACAGGAGCTTGTGGCTATGGCTAACGGGCGATGCCTGGTGCAGAACATCCAGAACTTGATACAGACGCCCACTGTGACACCAGAGGCCAAAGTTGGCCTGGTGGCACTGTATGCGCTGCGATACCACAAGCAACCGTCTAATGCGCTCCCGATGCTAGCGGACCTTCTTGTGGCGGCAGGGGGGGTGACACCACGGCAGGCGGACGCGGTCAAAGCGGTCTTGTCGTACCACACATCGCTACCCTCGTCCCAGTCTCAGGGCGGCATCTCTGAACTGTTCGAGTCGGCAGGCATCTTCTCAGGCGCCTCGAGTAGGTTCAAGGGCCTCAAGGGAGTCGAGAACGTCTACACACAGCACACAACACTGCTTGAGAGTACGTTGCAAAGCCTCATCAAAGGCAAGCTTAGAGAGCAGCAGTATCCGTTTGTGGACGGTGGTGGCTCAACCCGCGACAAGCCCCAGGACATCATCGTCTTCATGGTCGGCGGTGCCACGTACGAGGAGGCCAAGATGATAGCGGGCGTCAATGCCTCGACTCCTGGCGTCCGAGTCGTACTGGGGGGCACCTCGATTCACAACGCGGCGACTTTTCTCGAGGAAGCGGTAGATGCGGTCAGCTCATGGCCCGAGGGTCGCGGCAGACAATGAGGCAGAGTCCGCAGACTGGGGACAATTGGGTGTTTGTTGCCGGGCCCGTCGTCGTCGATAGGCATTTTGGTCGGGTGTATGTATACTCCGTGAGAGGTTTTCTGCGAATCCAGAAGGCACAGTACAAGCTTGAGCAAGGCCGACATGCTTTCAGAGCAACGAGAACCTGCGTTGTGGGTGCTCCAGATCTTGTGTACTCGAGTCTCAGAAAATACTCGCGGCAGAGTCGTTTGGGTGTCTTGAATCGCCACCGGGGTAGCCCGTGGCTGCGTGGGTTGGTGTGCGTCTTGGAGTGTGGCCCGCTAAAAAATTGGACTCCGACCTGGCGTCTCCGCGTGAACCCTCTGATACTTTGCTTGGTGACCGCCTCACTTCACCACCAACCTCCACACCCATTGCCACTGGCTTCAATCAGACTGCGCTTTACTTTTGCGCAAGGAGACCGCAGCGTGCGAGCGAGCACAGCCATACTCCGGCTCAACAGCAGACGCCGCTACGGCAGCAGGCCATGCGGGCCCTGGCGCGGCCACGATGGGCGCGCTGGCCGCGACGCTGTCGGGTCGTGACGACTCGCCAACTTGCGACGGTCGCCGACGGCGCTAGGTTGGTTTGTCCCTGCTTGCGAACACGACGGAGGCCTGGGAATCGCTGATTTGATGCTGACTCTGGCCGTGTCTCCAGGCCCTTCGATGTCGTCGTCATCGGCGGTGGCCACGCCGGCGCCGAGGCATGCGCGGCCGCTGCCAGGGCTGGCGCGAGGACCGCTCTCGTCACGCCCAAGATGGACAATCTAGGCACGTGCTCCTGCAATCCAAGCTTCGGCGGCATTGGCAAGGGCACCATCATACGCGAGATCGACGCCCTCGACGGCCTGGCGGGGAGGATCATCGACCAAGCCGGCGTCCAGTTCCACATGCTGAATCGAAGGAAAGGCCCTGCTGTCTGGGTTCGTGTCGCCGCGCCCCTTGCCGCCGTGGCTTGTGCCTGACGCTGACTTGTAACAATTCGCAACGCTACAGGGCCCGCGTGCTCAGATCGACCGAGGCCTATACAAGAAGCACATGAGGGACGAGCTCAGCCTGTACCCCAACCTCTCCATCATCCTTGGCAGCGTGTCCGACATTGTGGTCTCGACCCATGACTCGCCGCCCGTGGGTGGTGCACAAAAGTCCATTGCCGGCGTCCGTCTCGAATCTGGGCGCGTTCTGCCAACGACCAAGGTCATCATCACCACGGGCACGTTCTTGGGCGGCGAGATCCACATTGGCCTGCAAAGTTACCCTGCTGGCAGGCTCGGAGAGGCAGCCACTTTTGGTCTGAGCCAGTCTCTGCATGATGCGGGCTTCCGGCTCGGACGGTTAAAGACGGGCACGCCTCCGCGCCTGGATCGTGGCACCATCAACTTCGATGCGCTGCAGAAGCAGCTTGGCGACGAGCCGCCCACCCCCTTCAGCTACCTGAATGACAGTGTCTCCGTTCGGGATCAGCTGACATGCAGCATCACTTACACAAACGACGCGACTCACAGCGTCGTGCGCCAAAACCTCGACAAAACCATTCACATTCGCGAAACCATCAAGGGACCCAGGTATTGCCCGTCTCTAGAGTCCAAAATCATCCGGTTCGCCGACAAGGAGCGGCATATTGTCTGGCTCGAGCCAGAGGGTTTCGACAATCCCGTCGTCTATCCGAACGGCCTGTCCATGACTATACCCGCTGAGGCTCAAGAACAAGCGCTCCGCACCATCGAGGGTCTCGAGCACGTCAAGATGCTCCAGCCAGGCTATGGTGTCGAGTACGACTACGTGGATCCGAGGGGCCTCAAGGCATCGCTCGAAACCAAAGCGATAACCGGGTTGTATCTGGCAGGTCAGATCAACGGGACTACTGGATATGAGGAGGCTGCTGGCCAGGGCATAGTGGCCGGTATCAACGCCGGACGATCAGCGCTGGGCTTGCCCGCTATGTCACTCTCCAGGTCCGACGGCTACATAGGCATCATGATCGATGACCTTATCACGAAAGGCGTGACCGAGCCGTACCGAATGTTCACCTCGAGAAGCGAGTTCCGTCTGGGTGCAAGGGCGGACAACGCCGATCTTCGACTGACAGAGAAGGGGAGGACCTGGGGTGTCGTCTCAGACAAGCGTTGGCAAGCCTTCCGCGATGAGAGACAGCAGATTGCCGATCTCACCGCGTCCCTTGCCACGCTGTCCCTGACGCCAGAGCAGTGGCTGCAGAGCGGGTTCCGCCTCAAGAAAGGCTCCCGACGTCGAAGCGGCATGGACATGCTGCGCCTCTCCAACTCCAGTTCTCGCGTCGAGCTCGATCATCTCAGCGCGGCCTGCCCCGAGATCATGGCGTACCCGGCTCGCATCCGGAATCGCGTGGCCGTCGAGGCATCATACGCGCCGTATGTGAAGATGCAAGCCGCGGAACGTGGGCAGCTCACCGGTGACGAGGCCCTTCGAATCCCTCTAAACCTGGACTACGACGCCATTCCCGGCTTGGCGCTTTCTGAGAAGGAGGTCCTGAAGGCTACGCGGCCCGAGACGCTCGCACAAGCTCGCCGGGTCGAAGGCGTCACACCCTCGGGAAGTCTGCGTCTCTTGGCCCATGTACGGCGTCAGCCCACCGAGGGCAGACCTGAAGCAAGCCCAGATCTACCTTGACCGACTTGGTGTAGGCTTCGGCGGCTGTCAAACACGTCACTTTCAAAAATGAGCGCATGAGAGGCATGCAGGAGTACAATGATCCTCCAGAGATGTGTGTATTTATCCACCTGTGCTGTATGCTACATGTACAATCCCATGGTTGAGCAAGCGTGGCGGGATACAGCCTCTTCCTTTATAGACATAATGCACATACACATGTACATGGATGAGTATTACACCCACACCGTGTCATCATGCCCGTCGCGCTGCCAGACGCGGCCACTTCTTCTGGCTGCAACTAGGCCCTTGCGTCATGGCCGGCAGCCAGAGTACGCCTGGACAAAACGAGGCGGGCGTATGCGTCAATGGCGACGGCCGCGGGTTGCGGCCCGGGGCCAAGCATTGTGGCCAGACACACAAGAGAGCCACGCCTATTTAAGAATCTTCACCGCGTCTTTGCTGTAGACATAGCTCGCGCCGCTCCACACCGTGGTTGCTGCCACGACGTACCTAGTCACGGTCAGCTTCCTTTCGACTCGAGCAGGACCAGATCCGACCCAGACGTACGGAAAGCAAGAAAGATGGAGGTCGCGGGGGCCGAGCACGTACTGCAGAAGTGTGAGGGCCGGCGTCATGTCGGCGCTCACAAGGGGCGCCGCGGTCGTCAGACCGACAAGCGCTAGCTGAAGGAAGGTGTTGTACTTGCTGATGGTGGTCGGACGCACCTCGGCAGACGGCAAGGAGAAGTCCCAGTACCGCGCAAACGTCTTGGGCGGCGGCAGCGAGATCCAGCGGTAGTAGATGGCGGCTATGCCGAGCCCAACATCTCTTCCTAGAATGATGGTCGCCACCCAGACTTGCGCCACCCATCTGTTAGCTCAGGCGGCTCATCAAACACATGCCTCATTGCCCGCCGATCCCCGCTGGAGGCTGGCAACAGGGTGAGAAAGGGGGGAGAGGGGGCCTGGTACGCACGAGGCAGGGCACCCTTAATGGCGAGGCAGACGGTCAAGATGGTCATCAGGGCCTTGTCCGCCATGGGGTCGATGACTGTCCCGACAACGGTTTTGCGGTTCCAGCGTCTCGCAATCCAGCCATCGAGAAGGTCGGTCACGCCGGCATAGGCAAAGAGGCCCACGGCCCAGGCATGTGCGTCGTGGAGGACCAGGTAGCCGACGACGGGAGCGGCGATGAGTCGCGTGAGCGTCAGGAAATTCGGGATCGTGTATATATCTTCGTGAAGCACATCGCCTTTGACGGCGGCCGGGCTCGCGACTGTTGGTTTAGCGTCGGGCGCATCCCGGACAGACGCTCGCGGCGGTTTGGTGGGCGGCAGCGGAGGAGGAGGAGACGGCTGGCCGGAGCTGCGGCCCCGAGATGTCCACGTCAGAGATGCTGTCCACACGGGGTGAAGCGGAGCCACCAAGGCGCATTGGACGTCTCACCTATATAGACGGCGAGCGGCGGGCAGGCGGCAGAAGGGCACAGGGTACGGCGGCTGCGGGAGGGCCACACGCCGAGGCGTGCTCGAGACGGCCCGCCCGGGTAGGATGCTGCATTGGCGCAGCTGAGGCAGCCCCAGGCCTATCCGGCTCACGGTTTGCGACAGCATGGAGGAGGAAAGGGAGGGTGCGAATTCGTTCTGATGCTGTGCAAGTAGGGCCTCGGATACGCCAGCATGCTTGCCTTGGCTGCGTGCCCTCCGTCTCGTCACGTATCCGGCGTCGAGGACGCAATGCACATGTGCCCTTGGCGTGTACGGAGCGCACGAGCAGCCTCGACCGGCGCGACACAGAACAAGACGCTCGGGGCGCGGGAACGCGGACGGAGGCAGAGGCAGATGTCAGGCTCCGATCCGAGGTTTTGTGTGGGCTCCTGTCGTGCGGATTTTGATTGGCCACTCACCGAGGCCTCGCCGCCAACCTCACATGACCGCCGTACCTACATAATCCAATGTAGAGACTTGTAAGTTGACGATTAGCAACTCCGACGTACATTCTCGGCAGGTCCTTGCTGTTAGCCGTAGGTATTTGCCTTCGCCCGTCAGGCCCGGTAAAAAAGCAAAGTCCCAATGCCAATTCGGAATCCAAGAATTAAGCTATGTAAATATACGGTGAACAAGACCAAACCCATCTGCGCAGTTGGGGATTGTCCCTCGCGGGTCCCGTCTTCTGCCATGATTCTTTTTTTCCCTCTCTTGGCCAGCCTGTTCCCCGTCTCCTGATCCATTGCCGGATGCACACGACCCCCGTGCAAATCTAGTATAGTCCAAACTGTGCGGAACAAGAATGCAGCCATATTGAGGATACTGAACAAGCTGAGACAGCCCGAGTGTGTATGCAGGCAGTAGCCAACGCCACATTGTCCAAAGTCGTAGCCGCAAGGCGTTTCAGTTCCCGGTATACGCAAACACTGCAGCACCGAAAACATTCGGGCCACCAGGGTAACAATGTCCAAGGCCTCTTGATCGTGAGAGAGCCCGTGCATGCCATGTCATCCTCCATGCCTGGTCCTCCGGAGATGCCCATCCCGCAAAACAAGCGCCATAGTCCATGAGAAAAAGGGACAGAAACGAGTAGAGTCGACAAAGAAAATGGTTCCAAACCATGACGAAAAGGAGAAGCCCCACGGGGGCTACGAGAGCGGTGGGCATCGGGCCATTTGAATCGAAGTTTGTCGCCAAGAAAAAGGACACGATGAGCAGGTACGCCAACGCCAGGTCCATAAACGCCGTGTCAAGAGGCAAAAACGGCCACCCAACCAATAACCTCGCTTTTCGACTCCGGCCGCAAACGCCGCGTGTCCCGGGGGGGTTCCGGAGCTTTCGATTATTGCCCACCAAGTGAAACCAGCCATCCACGCCACCATCAAACGCCAGAGGATGCATTGTTCAGTCATCTCAATCGCCAATCATCGAAATCAGTATTCCGTCTGCAAGCGAGTCGCCGTCGACGTCGTTGCCCGTGAGCTGTTGAGTCATTACTGGCCGCCGTAAAACTGCTGGTCCTGGGAACCGTCCATGGATTCGAAGCCCCAAGCGCCGCCCGAATCATCGAGCCCGTACGGGTGCGTGCCGCCATCATCACCGCCCATGGCGCTCGCCTCAACCTTGACCTCGCGCGACGACGGGTAAAGCTGGTTGTCGTGGTTGGGCAACGAAGAGGGCCTGTGAGCAAGGAGATACTGCGATTGCGGCGGGTGCATGTACGCGCCGCCGCCGCCGACGACAGCGCGGGCCTCGCCCATCGGCCCCAGAGGCAAGCCCGCCAAGTCAGTCGCCGATCCAGCTGCATCGAAGGCCGAGTGTCGTCGCGGGGCGCTCTGCGTGGGCATATTCCGAGGAAACTCGCTGCCGATGCCTGATCCAGAACCACCGAGACGCTCTGCGCGATTGGGGTCGAGGGCGTAGTTGCCCTGAGAGTGTGGAGCGAACGGCATGCCCGCCGAGCTTGGCGGAGGGATGGAAGCCGGGACCGGAAGCGACATTGAGGAAGGCAGTGGCGGCGGCATCGGTGAGGCCATGGGGTGAGACATGGCGTGGGCCAATTGGCTCCCATAAGGCGACTGCTGGCTGTGGGAAAAGTGAAAAGGTGCTGCTTGGGGAGCAGAGTATGGAGGGCCCGACATGGGCTGCATGGAGCCACTCCAAGCCCTTTGGAGGATGCTGCCAGAGCCCGAGTACTCGCCCATGCTCCCGTGCACAGACAGGAGAGTTGGCGTCCCGTCTGGATTGTACTCAATCTCATCGACGGGGGCTCGGAAATTTTGAGACGTCATGAGCTCGACACGGGGGACAATGTCCCTCAACATGTTATCCCTGGATGGGGTGACGAGGCTTCCTTGAAGGACGTCCTCGACGCTGTAGTAGCTGACAAGGTGGTGCGGGATGCCGTGATAGGTGATGCTGATGGTCTTCTTGACAAGGCCGCTGTCTTTGAACGGATACGAGTCCACCAGCGATCCGATAAGCGAGCGTTCGATGTCCTTGGTGTTGTCCGACGCATGTGAGAGGAAGCCGCCATTGCCCGAGCGCGAGGTGCTTTCGGTCTTGGTCACGCCGGCAGACGAGCCAGCGGCCACTCGTTTCCTGCGAATGGCGCGCTTCTTCTCACCGGGTGGAAAGGGCTTGTCCAGTTCCCGATAAATGAGAAAGTTTCCCAGAATCCTGCTTGGGCTCCATGACACACCATCGGTCCAACGCTTGATGCCAGATGCGTGCTCCTCGTAGATGAAGACGCTGCCGCTCTTGATGAGCTCCTGACGCTCCCTGTCGTGCGGGCGGCGAGGGACGTGGTTGATACGGCCGCTCAAGGCGGCTTCGAAAAGTAGGAGAGCATCAAGTGTCGACGCAATGTGGCCTTGCCACGTGGGGACGAGAGGACTAGAATGTGACATTGTAACGTCTGCCGCGAAGGAATGTGTGACCGAGGTGCAGGAAAAGTATCGAATGCGGCGGCACTCAAGTGCGCGATGGGGCGGTCGAGTGTGATTCACGGCGGGAGTTGTATCGGTGGTCAGTCTGTGAGCTGATTGTGCCACGAGTGCCGTCGCGCCGATAGCTGATGCCGGCGAAGAAGGTTGTTGTTATACGGATCCAGACGCGGTGCAGGATGAGGACGGAAGGGCTCGGCAGTGATACACGCCCTGCTTGCAGGGAGCGCGCTGTAGACGGACCGTTCACCTTGCACGTAGACTTGCCAGATGGATGCCGATTCAGACGTGCCTGTTGTTTGCTGTCGTTACTCGCGCCCGGCAGAGGCAACAAGTCGCACAGTTGCCAGGAGGAGGTAGGTGTGTTGTTGGTGGGCAGGTGCAGACGGGAGGATGGAAGCAGAGTTTGGGGGGAGGGATGTCGGGAAGCAAGTAGATTGACTCTGGCAGTGCGTGCTTTGACAGGTGCCGTGGCGTGGACCCGGGCGATATTTCTCCGATCCAAGTGTCTGCCCAGTGGGTGGAGATGTGGTGATGGAGGGAAGCTGATGAGGCGTCAAAGGTGCGGGAAGCCGGCGTCGCCTCTGTGATCTAGCCTGAGCGCAGCGGGCTGGGTGGATGCAGAGGCTTGCTGGGCGGGCACGGAGGCTAGACAGTGCAGCGGAGGCCTGCCGGGGATGAGGCGCAAGCCAGAAGAGGGTAGACCGAGATATAGAGTTTCGCGGGTCGCGAACGTAGGGCTAGCCGGCGACGTGGCGGCGGCATAAGACGTCTTTGGGCGAGACAGTTGAGCCAGTACCAAAGACGCCCGCTTCCGACGCTGGCTCTGTAACAATGTTCGTCCTGGCCTGGCGGGATGGGGGTGGATGTCTGTACGGCCTGTACTGGTTGACGTCGCGAGCGATGTCGCTTGCTTGGTAGTGCTGCTGCTGGTGATGGTGGTTATGACAGCGCCAAGCACGGCGCCTGGGGTCCAGGTGAAAGATGTCACAAGAGTCCACAGGGACGTGTAGAGAACGCGGACGGTCTGACGGAGACGAGGGGCGACCAAGGCCTTGTTTGGTTGACGGATGGTCGAAGGGATGAATGCGCGTCTGAAGGCCAAGTGAGGCAGGTAGGTAAGTGGTCGAGAAGCGCGGTCCGTCTCCGCAACAATGCGAATGCGCCGTTCCTTTTTCCCAGAGCCGACGCAGAGGGTAAGAAGAAAAGGTACAGTCGACAGCTTCCACCTTATCTTATTAACCTTTGATCCGGTGGAAAGTCGCCAGTGGTCGGGTTGGCCGGGCCAAGGTCAAAGCAGTGGAAGTTGGACTCGTACGGTAATGGAGTAGGCGCGGCGCGCGAAATCGAGCCAGCCGACGCCACAAGCGCCAGCCGCGATCGTCCAAGAACAGAGGAGGACTTGTGAGCAAAGTACGGAGTACCTGGGCAGCACACAGCCAGTGGCAGGCTGGGCGGGGGGGTGAGGAACTCGTATGAGTACGGGACAGAATTGAACGATGGAGAGGTCCAAGCAGTCCCAGTCCCGTAAGAGTAGGGGACGCGGCTTTGGGCCGAGTGGGATGGACCAAGACGGAGCAAGATGGGCTGGGCTGGGCGCCCGAAACGTCGCCCGGAAAGGGAAGCGGACTCGGCGGAAGCAGATTGACTGCTGTGCGTGTGCTCTGGGCTTGATGGCACCGAAGAGGAAAGATTCAGAGGCCGAGCTGCCGACCTGAGCTCGACACGGCGAGCCAGGCAAGACCCGGGAAGGGAGGGGGGGTGTGCGTGGACGGAGGCGTAGGTGTGGGTGGAGATGGCACTGATGGGGATCTCTCGACGGGGATGGGGTTGGCGCTCGGAGACGGCGAGAGAGTGGAACTCTGGACCTGGTCGCGATGGTGGGCGAAGGGGATCCCGTTTGGAAGTGGCAGGGCCCGTTTCTCTTGTGATGTGGGCTTACTTGTGCTCGTTGTACCCGTCGTACTCGTCGACGTACGAGGGTGAGAAGGATCGGGGCCGCTGGCGCTCGCAATGGTGGTGGTTAGCTGAATCGTGGAACATTTCCAGGCGGAGAACGACTCGCGGCATTGGCAATGCTATCACGCAGATACTCCTCGGCGTACGTGATGCTTGGGCGGGGACAAGGTATGCCGTGTGAGATATGGGATAATATGAGATGTGGGATATAGGATACCATACGACGCCCTCCTGGCTATTGCGCATGCGAGCGCCAGATCCTTGGGTAGGGTGACGTGCAAAGCGTGTCAGGCGAGTTCCAATGTAAGGAGAGCCACGAGTCGCGATGGAATGGCCCTCTCAGCTCGTGGAAGGGGTCAGTGTCTGCTTGCAAGGGGGCAGGTAGAGACGAAGGATATCGACGAGGCAATCGGGACGGCGTCGAAAAGCCTAGGTAAGGTAGGGGATGATGGAGCGTTTGGTAACGCTCAATGGGGCGGCGGAAGGGAGGAGGGACACTGCAGCGGCACTCGTACTCGAGGGTGCCGGCCGGATTTCGGGGCGCCAGCTGCGACTGTGCGCCGGATACGGCGTCACACCTCCGTCCACAGAACGGGGGGCCCTTGCTGCTGTTCTGTTTCCCCCTCGGCTGACGGGTCTTCTTGGCCCGAGCCAAGGCGAGACGCAGAACACGACGGGCTGCTCCTTGCTCCGGTGCCAGTGCTCGTACAAGAAGCCCGGGACTCCGTGGTGCTCCGTGCTTGCTCGACAGGCCTTGGGTCAGAGGCTGACCAATGACTCCGATGACTCGAGGCGGGCGGGACGAGGGTTGATCTGGTGTAAGTCAGGCCCAGGTGCAAGCCAAAAGCCAAAAGCCAAATGGCTCGGACCGTTGGAGCCAGGACGAAGGTGTCAATTGCGTCCCCGAACAGGGGCTACTGACGGCGCACGCGATGCAACCAGGCCAATCCCTGAAGACGAGCATGGGCGGGTGAGAGGCGAGGAGGTGCTGGTTGACGGGGTCGCTGTCAGCGGCCGGCCGTCGAGGGCGTCTCCGCCTGGTGCTGCCGAACTTGGATGCTTTGCGCTGCCCTCTCGCGACCAGAGAGCCTGCCAGTGTCCGTGAGGATGGCCGACGGCAAAGGCGTTGCCGACTTCTCGACTCTTCGTCTCTCCCGAGTCCGGACGTGAGGCAATGGCAAGTTCCGGCCGACGGCGCCGGGTGCGTCGCACTTGTCTCACGGTCGGCCTCGGCTAGGCCAGGCACGTAAGCTGGGCAGGACAACTCGTCGCTTTCCTGTCGAAAACGGCGTAGACGGGGTCGGCATGCGCCAGCAAGTGGTCGCGAGTGGAGGCAGGCACGAAGTATTACTCGTATGAAAGCCCCGTACGGAGGACGAAGTAATAGTGCTGCTGTCCCTGAGTTGAGAGAAGGGGGGCATCAAGCCAGCCACAGCACCCAATACGCTACCACGTCTCTTCCATGGCCAGCGTGGGCTTGTGCTCAGGTAGCCTTACTGTATTGACAAGGGAGGAAAGGGGGGGGAGGACGGACACGGCGGAGCCGTCGTCCATGCAAGAGCCCCGGGAACGGAAGAATGGCAAAGCGGCGGCTCAACAACACCATCCAACTGGACACGCCTACGGCAATGCACCACAGCCATGTGCTAGGAGCTAGCTGCCCTCGGTCAGCTGAGAAGGCGGCATCCATGACCAAGACATGGTTGCAAAGAAGACCCTGCGCCGCGGTGGTGATTGCCCTCGACAGATGGCGCTGGGCGCCGGCCAGTCCGCGACCTGCTTCGACCTGCTTCGACCTTGGATCGGTGACCTGGGGTCGACCAGTCTTTCTAGGCTGCGGCCAGCTTTGTCGGCTCGCGGCTGCCAACACCGGCGGCGCTTCTCAGCCACACACATGTGGGCAGGAGAGAGAGAAGGGGGGGGGGGGGGGGGGGCCGGCTGCTGGTGCTGCGCGTGCCGCTACAGCGGCGGCGGCGACGACGACGGTGACGGGCCTTGGACGATGCAAACGGCGGAGACGACGGCAGCAGAGGGGGCGGGGCGGGGAAGACAGCATGAACAAGGTGATGGGGAAAACGGAGGACTGGCGGGCCTGGGGGCGTCGTCGACCACGAACGCGAACGGTGCCATTGCGCTCGCTTGTGAGTGCAGGCGCCTGGTTGGCAGACGAAACACTAAATGGCTTGGAAATGGTGCAGAGGATGGTCAAGATGGCTGCGACGGTGGGTTGAGGTGGTGTGGTGCTGTGGTGGGCTCTCGGGTCCGTCTTGTCGCTCCGTTTTGCAGAGGCGAAGCGAGATGGCGAGGTCGAGGCGTGCTTGGATCACCATCGGCGAGAACACGGGGGGCGCCTGCCTTGCCTCACCCACACAACCTCACCTGCAGTACCCACCAAGGTACCTAGGTACCTTGCCTTGTTACCTCGGTGGTGACTCCTTCGCCATGCCTGTCTAGGTAACTAGTACTTAACTGAGGCAGCTCATCATCAGGTACTAGAAGGCACCACGAGTATGTTGGCAGGCACGTCGTACTCTGTACAATCGTGCACGCACTGCGCTTGCTTCAGGCGTCCCTGCGGCTTCCTCCTGCGAATCGTCCTGCTCCTGCCATGGCATGGTGGGTGGCAGGTTCCATTGGTGCCGGCGTCGTACCTGCCTGCGCTACGGCAAGGCACCATTACCTACCAAGTGCCGTGGCTGACCATGGGTGCTTGCCCACAGGGCAAGGTGGGTCGGACCAGGCTCGCGAGGTACTCGGTACCTAGTACGACGCGCTTCTGCGCAGTCCGTCCTCGCACGAAGTCCCTGTTACGTCCACGTTTTGGCGGATGATGCACCTGCACCCGCAACTGACGGCGGGCACCTAGGTTCGGTTTCTCTTGCTTTCATTCCATCGAGTGCGAGCGATGGTAACAGAGACGACAGGGTGTCGTGAGAGGGGCTCGGGAGGCTCTCCTCAGCGGCCAGCCTGCGGCGAGGGAGCTGGCGAGCAAGCGGCGTTCCACA